TTTCCTCTGTACACAGGATACACAAAATGCTTCCCTTATGCCACCCTATGTTCCTCCTTCCACCACTATCTGTCCTTCCACATTTCTAGACCCACTCTACCACTTCATCCAACTTACTTTAGAATTCCTCTCTCTGTTCTAACTAATATCCAAGATGTGGGGCATTCAAATATTCAAGATTATATCTCCAATTTTAAGCTTCAAACTTACAATCCTATTGTGGTGGGGCGTGGTCTGTGGTGCCGTGCAGGGAGGGCGGACGCACCTGCACGGCATCCGTAATCACGCCCGCCGAGTTAAAACACAGGGACTCAGGTGTGTGTGGTGTTGTGTTGTGGTGAGTGTAAATAAAGATGCATTGAATGATGATCTGTGGTCCCGTCGTGCCTTATTCTCACCACACCTATATCATCACTTCCTCAAAACCCTTCACGTACTCTTCCTTCAGGATTACCCCTACTCTTTCTTAACTTTCTCTTCCACAATTTGAATCCGCATCCAAAGCTCCTGGCTTTGCTCCCCGTTCACCTGGTCTTCTGCACATAAAACACATCTACCTTCCTTCTCTCCATTATATCATCCACAGACAACTTCTGTAATATGTGAGACTTTTGGAAACCTAAAGAAAGGGTAGCAGATGTGTGCTCTAATGCTAGTTTTGACCCAGGAAGAGACTCATACCTGGAAGACATACATGCATCCGTTGCCACTGCAGGTTAGATTAAATGGATAACTGATAGTCTTTTTGTTCACAACATAGAAAAAAAGAAAATAAATTATAGGGGAAAATTAACATTGTTCTTCCTTTAGCCTAATATTGTGTGAGTTATTAAGGACCCAAGATGCCTTCACATCGCAACTACTCAGTATTTTTATTCCTTGTCTCCCTGGCCCACATCTTGAGACATTGTCCCACATTCTGACTGGCTCGACAGGACATGCGCTTTTCTAAAATCTGGATTTTACCCAACACATGTGAAGGGAAGGCTTTTTATTATAGGGAAATAAAGAATAACCAGTCTAAAGTTTCCCCACTACTATCTACTATCATCTTCGTCCCCATGACAACCGTTTCTGCGTCTAACAGTACTTCCACTTAGAAACTAAGCTTCTCTACAGTTCAGTTTCAGCTATGTGGTGGACACACAAAAGACCCGTAACAGCTTGCAACTGAATTGAAAAATATGGTATGTCGTACTTATTTTTTCCCCTTTTGCTTACAGAGTTAAATTACCAAATGCTACTCGTTAATTGTGTTCAGCAAAGCCAATCACAAAGGCTGAATGCTAAGGCTAAGCACCCGGCGTATGTTTAACACCCTGTCGGTTAAAACAGCGGTCC